AAGGAAAACTTGAAATCGCATCATATGACCCCTTTAATAAAAAATCAGTAAAGATTTTACAGCAAAAAGACGTGAACCACGACCTGAAGGTGGATGTTTTTACAGTTATACTAAGTCCTTTTATTTGCTTATAAATTCAATCAATCAGACACCATAAACATCCATTTTTATACTTTTTAAAGGATTTGTTCACTTCCAGAATGAAAATTGTGTCATCATTTACTCACCCTCCGAACTTGTATACGAGTTTCTTACTTCTGTTGAACACAAAAGATGATAATTTGAAAAATGCTGGTATGCGAACAGTTGATGGGCACCATTGACTTCCATAGCATTTTTTTTTCCTACTATGGAAGTCAGTGGTGCCCATAAACTGTTCGTGTTATATGGTCAACAACCCTAGCCCCCAACAAAATTCTAGCGGCCGAATTTGGCAGGTACTGAGGTTTGTTAATACAGGATTTAGACTCTCCAATGAAAAGGGCATTACAATAGTGTAAATGTGAGAAAACGAAAGAGCTATTCAACCTTTCAGCAACGGAAAAAGACAGCATAGGTCGCAGACGTGCAATATTTCTGAGATGGAAGAACGTGGTCTTAACAGTGTTCTGCACAAAAGGCTCAAACGACAGGCTGGCTTAGAAAAATAACTCCCAACTCCATTTTTTTTATTTACTTTGTAGCTTCAGCCCAATACCATCAACAAGCAGAGCTCAAGAACCAGCACTGTGCAGTTGATGGGGAGAGCCAAGAAGCATGACTTTTATAGAGGACAGTTTTTAGAACTATTCAAGCAGAGAAAATTGTTAGACATCCATGACTTAATCACTGAAATACAATCTGAAAGATGGGATAAGTCCACATCTTGACCTGGTTTTTAATGGATAAAAATCTGGGTGTCATCAGCTTAAAAATGGTAGTTAAGGTCAAGAGATCTTAATAGTTGACCAAGTGGAAAAATATAAATGCTAAAAAGCAAAGGACCAAGAATTGAGCCCTGGAGGACACCAGTACTAAACAGACCAACCTCTGATCTGTGGTCATCCATAAAACAAAATGACTGTGATCAGAAAAAAAAGAGCTAAACCAGTCCAATGCAGTATCCGTTACCCCAAAAACAGATTCAAATCGACTTAATAATATCGTGTGATCAACGGTATCACCTTTTTTTTGTTTTTGTTTTTTTTTATATATTTTGGCTTTTATGGAGCCATAGACCTTCTGGGGTATTAAGGTCAAAGAAAGACTGCAGAAGAGATTCAGAAAATAAAATCACTCCATCTGCCTTTGTAACCCCCCAAACACATATTTAGGAACCCCCATCTGGAATAATAGGAATTGTTTCCACACACAGTGTGATTCATCTCTCTGAAGTTTCCTAGAGTTGTAGTGCCTCAAAAGCAACAAGGTGGGTGATGCGATGTTTTTGTACCCCCTCCTGGTCCTCCCCTGCTGTAGCAGAGACCTCCTCTCTGTGGGTTAGTGAGAGGAGCTCTCAACTCTGCTCAGGATAGGGTAGAAAGAGACTTATACCGCCATGCTGATTTTGAGAGAGCGAGAGCTTTATACTGCACTCAATGCCGTTTTTTTGTTTTCCAGTATCTCCATAGTGGTTATTTCCAGTTCATTTCTTCACTTTTTGTAGTTACTGGCTCAATTTAGTCATTTTGCTCTTCACAGACAATAATAATCAGCTGATGTTTTCATCTCCTGACAGGATGATATGAGCGATTCCCTGCGGGACTACACCAACCTGCCTGAGGCCGCGCCACTCCTCACTATCCTGGACATGTCAGCTCGTGCCAAATACGTTAAAGACGTGGAGGAAATCACACCTGCCGTGGTAGAACAGTTTGTTAGTGACTTTCTGGCCGAGGAGCTCAAACCGGAGCCCATTTGAAGTCCTTGAACTCCTTGCACCCTGTTACCCGAACCTCCATCTGGCCCTTGACCTCCAGGTGTGCTCTCTCTCCTCTTCCTTTCAGACTGTTCGAACAGAAGCGTACTTTGTATTGACATTTTATTTCTTTTAATACATGCCCCTCCATCTCGAAGCGGCCGCCTCCTCCTGTGGTGCCTTGCATTTACTACAGCGCTGATGGTAAAATGCAAATTTTAACGTTGATTGTCTTTTGCCGTTACATTTTGAGATTAGATTGAACCCTGCAGCTGCAAGTGAACACAACTTTGTTCTGATTTGCTTTTATTGACATTTTTATCAAGTATTTCCTTCTATCCTTGGATATTGTTTAAAAAATCAAGAGCATAGAATAAATATAGCTTGGTAGATGTATTATTATTATTTTTCCACAGACACTGCACATTTTACGTGGCCATATGTTCTGTACGGCTGTGATTCTCTACTTATGGGTGCTGATAAATATGCATACATGAACAAGCTGATGTTAATATCCGTGTATAGAAGGCACTATCTATTCTTTGTGTAGCTGCCGCTGTTTATTTTTAATGCAGTTGTCTATAGTTGATTCTTTAAAGGTCTTCGCCCACCTTCTTGTTGATATTTGATATTGTTGAATGACTAATCTGTTTCCATCTCAAACATGACATTTAAGTGGATTTTCTGTGAAGGTCCCCTGTATTAAAGCGGTCTATGTTTTTTGAAGGCACAATAAACAGCATCTAATTGCAAGCTTCCTTACAAAATGTAGCCAGTTAAAGCACACAGTCTGTCTGTCTTTGGTTGTTTTAAATGTCATAGCCATTAAAACCCACTGTTTAAAATGTCTCCGTGTTCTCTTTACATAGCAATTCATACTCCTCTACTACTCAGTTTCTATAGTATGCATACTGTGTGCGTTATGCAGATTTTCTGATAATAATCTCATAATACTGAAATTTGCCAGATCATGCCGTATGCAACCTGAAATATCCCACAAAGCAATGTACTTCCTTCAATCTTTCATTTCCACTTACATACGTATAATGATGATAGTTTCCATTTTTCATACTGTATAATGTTATGCCTAAATTCACTTGTACTGTAGTGTTTATATTTTCATTAATTTTAGTTTTCAGTGTTTTTATTAATTTAGACAAAATAGTAAGTAATTTTAATAATGGCCATAATTATTAGTATCAACCAGAATTTTTACATCTAATATTTTCACATAACACTGGAATTCTTGCCAGAATAACCACATGCCACTTGCTTAATTAA